CCCCCGTGCCCCCTCGCGACTCAGACATCCCCTGCGGCTGGGGTGTTCTCAAGACCCAGGCCAATGCCCTGGTCCATGCGTACTGGGAGCAGGGCGTGGTACGACCCGAGGCACCTCGCACGCCGGCACCCCCCCGATAGCCCTTCCTTCCCCCCGGGCCCATTCCGCCCGGTGGCGCCCCTCACCCCGGCGGCCCCTCTAACCCGTCGCCTCGCCCGGCCATCCTCGGCCCGGTCCGCCGCCATCCACAATGCAGCCCGTCAGCGCGGTGCTCATCACGCAAACCATGAACGCCGCGGTGTATGCCGGGCGCACGCGCGGGCTCCGCCGCTCGGGCCACGGCATCCTGTGCCAGCCGCTGGAGCACACCAAGGGCGGCGACCAGCACGGTGGCGGCTCGTCGCCCCTCCCGACCGAGGCCTTCCCCCAGGGGCCCGACCGGATGGCCATGTTCGCCGTGTACAGCGGCCAGTTCACCGACGACGCCATCCAGGGCTGCGGGGAGTTTGTCCTCGGCCTGGGCCGGCCAATTGTCGGCCGCTTTGTCCAGGGCCGTGCCGTGTCCAACAACGGTATGCACAGACACTGGGTCTGTATTTCGCGCGCGCGCACACACACACACACACACACACACACACACACACACACACACATCATACGCCTGGGCCCGCGGGCAGGCCGGGCTTCTTTTCGCCCGGCCGTCCCGCGGACTCCCAGGCCGCCAGCCAGCCAGCCTGACCACCCTCACGCGCCTGTCCCCGGGCACTTGCTGACCTTTCCTGCACCCCGGTCGCCACTCCGATGCCCCGCCCCCCTCGCCGATGCGCAGATCCAAATGCCGCGGCTGCCGAGCAGCGGCAAGCCGTCCAGGCCAGCCAACGGAGCCGCGTCCTGGCGGCCACCGCATCGCGAGCCATCCAGCGCCGGGCCATCCGGGCATCCATGATCGCCGAGGCCGCGGCCGAGCAGCGCGCCGCCCGGGAGGCCGAGCAAAAGGCCAACGAGGAGGCCGCCCGCCGCCAGGCCGCCCAGCCGCACGGCTTCCAGCCGCAGGAATTCCAGGAGTACCTCCAGAACAAGGAGCAGTTCCACCAGTTCCAGCAGCTGCTCCTGCAGCAGCAGCAGCAGCAGCAGCAGCACTTTTTCCCGCAGCCCTACTGGTCTCCCGGGCACCCCACCGGCCTGCCACCGCTGCCGCCCCTGCCGCATGCCACGCAAATGCAGCACTTCCCGGCCCTGCCGCCGGCCCTGCCCCAGGCGCTTGGCCGGCCGCCGGCCGTCGGCCAGCCCGCCGACGACATGGACATCACCATCATGGCCAGCCGGCCGGAGCCGCGGACCCCCAGCCGCCGGCCGCCCTCGGCCAGTGGCGGTGTCGGGGCCGGCGACGCCGACTCCATGAACCTCACGCAGGTGACCAATCTCTATCGCGGCCCCGGGGTCGGTTCCAGCCCGGGGCAGGGGCTCGTCAAGCCGCCCTATGCCTCGCCCCGGCTGGGGGCCCTCGGCTCGAGCGGCGGCGATGCCTCCCCCCGGCTGGGCCCCATGGCCGGCCTGGCGCACGAGCAGCCGGCGGCCCTGGACCAGCAGTGCCCCTATGCCCAGGCCCCTTGGCAGTATGACATGCACGGGGGGCACCCCCACCACCGGTCCCCGCGGCAGTCGCACGCCGGGGCTCCTCAGCATGCCGACCTGCCGGTCTTCCCGCCGACCCCGCCGTCGGCGCAATTGTCGCCGCGCCTCGATGCGCACTTCATGCCGAGCCCCGGCCGGGGGTCCTTCGATCTGAATGGGACGTCGCCCGGGCTGCCGGCCGACCCGCGCTACAGCCCGCACTCGACATCCACCATGGACCTGACCGAGGTGGCCTACACCCGCCGAGGGAGCGCCGACACGGCTGGCGCCGGCCCGAGCCCGGCCGGGCCCGTGAGCTGGTCCATGCTCCGCGGGCAGCACCCGCACCCGGGGCAGCGCCCGCCCGCGCACTCGCCCATGCATTTGCAGCAGCAGCAGCAGCAGCAGCACCACCACCACCACCATCACTACACGCAGCAGGCACCGCCGGAGCCATATGCCGGTGGGGTCCCGGCGTCGCCCCAGCGCCCGGCATCCAGCACCGGCGCCAGCTTCGGCTACTATGTCAATGACACCTCCACGGACGCATGGTCCCCGGCCGGCAGCGGGGGCGCATACACGACGGAGATCTCCCCGAGCTCCAGCGCGCGCGACGGCATGCTCGGCCGCCAGTACACCCGGCGGTGCAGCGACTCGCCGTCGCCGTCGCCGGGGCGGGGCGGCAGCTTCGCGCGGGGGCCCGGCCCGGCGGCCGCCTCGCCGGCCCCGCTGCTCTTGGACAACGACTCGACGCTCATCTTCGACGATGACGAGGACCTCAGCCCGCCCCTGGGGGCCGTGTCGGTGGGGCTTAGCAGCCTTGCCCTGGCGGAGGAGTCGCCCCGGGGCTCGGCCCGGAGCAGCATGGCCGCGGCGGCCCCGTGCATGGGCGGCATCAATGCCGCCCTGCGCGAGTCCTTCGGCATCGACAGCCCGACGCACACGCCCATCACCGGCGGGCTCAAGCGCCTGGCCGGTGGCCTGGCCCCGGGCGCCTGGTCCGAAGACGAGGACCACCCGGATGCCGAGGATGGGGAGGATCTCGATAAGACGGACCTGTTGAACACCTTTTCGGCCGCCGGTCCGGCGGCCCTGCTCGCCGGCGGGGTGTACGCCAAGTCCACCTCCAGCTCCCGGCGGACGCCCTCCCGGCTGTCGATGGCCTGCCGGAATCTGGCCGCGGCCGCCGGCGCCGCCGAGGGCCCGGACCAGGCCCCGCCCCGCGGCCCGCCGCCCGGCCGGGGGGTCTACCAGTTCAACCACTTCACCGGCACGGCCGGCCCCATTTGCGCCCCGAGTCGGCTGTCGGACAGCTTTGCCACCGGCACCACCACCATCGCCACCAATGGCTCCGGCTCCTGAGGGCGTGCTTGCCCGGCCCATCTTCCTGCCCCATGCCCGGCGCATGCATATATATATGTATACACCTCATACCAATGCTCGAGCGCGGTTGGCCCTTGGCCTTCCCGGGGGGAGGGGGGCTCTCTTGTCGGCATGCAGCGGGGAGCGGGGTGCCGAGGGGGCGGCCGGCGCTGCGGCGGAAGGGGCGCCTGCTCGGCCGGATGCTGCCGATGGCGGTGGCGTGCGGCCCTTTGCCGATGCAGGTGGGCGGCCCAGCCCGGCCGGCCTCCCCGGGCGCCAGGCCTGCGCAGGCGGGCACATGCCCCCCCCCCCCCCCCTCCCCGGGTCCCGGCTGGGGCGCTGGGCTCCGGTCAGGGACGCCCCTCTGTTGGTGGCTCGCGCCACTCGTGGGCGAATGGGCATGTGTGTGCTCGGTCTTCGCCGTGTCCGGGGAGGGGGGGGGGGAAGCGCGCGAGACACGCCCGGACGCGCGGGACCTTCTTCTCAACACCCCAAGCGGGCACCATGCAAACGAAGGTTGTCTATTGTTGGGGGGCGTGGGAGGGGGAGGCCCCCCGGCCGGCCTCGGGGGGCGCGAGCATAAAACCCACTCCCAGGGCCTGGGTCAGTGTGTGAAACCAACCATAGCTCAATTGGTAGAGCATCAGACTGTAGCGGTTGCAATTATCTGAGGGTCGCTGGTTCGATTCCGGCTGGTTGGACACTTCCTTTTTCGCGGCGCACCGCCCCTTTTGTCGGGCCCCGCATGTCTGGGGGGGGGCGGCCGGGCGGGGGGCAGGCGGCGGCGGGGGCCGCACAATAAAATAAGCGCAGGGACACCCTGGGGCCCGGCCGGATCTCGCCCCGGCGGAGGGGACGCCGGCGGCCGGGCCGGGGCGCGGGCAGCGCGCGCCGGGGGCCGATCATTCGCCCGGGTCAGGGTGTCCCCCGGACAAGGGCCGGGCCGCGGACGGACCTTCCCCCGCGCCCTGCGCGAAAAAAGGCGGTCCCTCGAGCCCCGCGGCAGAGGGCCGCGCCTGCCCCTCCCCCCCCCCGCCCTGTCCGGTCTTTTGCTTGCCTGGCATTGGCCTGGGCGCGTGCTGCGGCCAGGGCCCCGGCTCACTTCGCCCCGCCCCTGCCCGCCCCCGCTCGGCCGCGGCCGTGGTCCCCGCCCCCCTGGCGATCAGCCGGGGCTGCGGCGCCGCCATCGGAAGGCCCGGCTGCTGGTGGATCCCACGGACCCGGCGCTCGGCGACCGGACCAACTCCCCGTGGCGTGCCCCGTAAAATGTGCTCGGCAGGGGGGGCGCCCGGCTGGGCGGCGGCGGGCTCCCCAGATACAGGACCTCCGGCGAGGGCGCGAAGGACACCGCGCCGGTGGCCGGCGGGCTGCCAGGCGCCTGGCTGGCCTGCTGCCGGGCCAGGGCAACGCGGTGCCGTGCCGCCTGCTCGGTGCGCAGGGTCTCGAAGTAGGCCAGCACGGCGCGCTCCTCCTCGGCCCGGTCGCGGTCGCTCTGCGATGTCCAGCTGGAGTTGTCGTCGTCGTCGTCGTCGTCGTCGTTGTCGTGGCCGCCATTGTGGGCGGCGCGCCCGGGGCGGCCGGCCGGCGGCAGGGAAATGTCCTCCAGCCCGGCGGTCGGGTCCCAGGAGAGATCGGTCCAGGCGGGCGGCGAGCCGGGCGGGCTGCCGCCGGCGGGCGAAGGCACCCCCGGCGACCTGGAGGACCACTGGCCGCCGGCCGACATGGGCAGGGCCTGCACCGGCGACCGGGCCAGCATGGCGTCCAGCGACACGGCATTCCAGCCCGGCTCATTGGCCAGCACCGGCAGCCGCAGGACCACCGGGATCCGGGCCTGGGCGGCTGGGCCGTCGTGCGAGCCGCCGCCGCCGCCGCCGCCGCGGGTGGACAGCCGCGCCTGCAGGCGATCCATGCCGATCAGGGCCAGGGAGTTGTCCTGGCTCACGTCGATCGCGTTCTCCAAGTGGAAGGATACCATCAGCCGGGCCTGGAGGTGGCGGGCCAGGCGGCCAGGCGCCCGGGGACAGGGCCGGGGCCGGGGGAAAGCCGCCAGGTCAGTACGCGAGGCCACGGCGCCTGCTCGCATGCGGGATGCCAGCCGGTCGGCGGCCGAGGGGTGTGTGTTTACGCGAGGCCCCCCCCCCCCCCGCCCCCCAGCCCCGGAAGGAGCGACACCCGGCACGCACCTCGGGCAGGTCGCCCACCGCTCCGCTGGCCATCCAGGAGCCCTGGGAAAAGCCCAGCGCCTCGATGGTGTCCGTGGTGTGGGCCGCCTTGAGGATCCGATGGATTTCGGCGTTCGAGTAGGGCCGGGCCCCATCGGTGGGGACGCCCAGCGCGCCGGACTCCACCGCATGGTGCATGAGGGCCGCCTCGCTGGTGTGGCGGCGCCGTTGCCGGCCGGATAGGGCGGCGCCGGTGGCCGGGCCCGGGCCGGCACCGGGGCCCGCCGCCGCCGCCTCGGGCTGGGGGGCGTCGGCTCCGGCACGCGCGGCCGCCACATTGTCCTGCTCCAGGCGCAGGGGGATCCACCGGGTGAAGGCGTGGTTGCCGGGCTGCTCGGGGGACAGCCGCGCGCCCGGGTGCCGCGTGGCCCCGGCCACCGGCGGCCGGTCACTGGCCATCAGACTGCCCGGGGGGGCCTTCTTGCAGCTGGCCAGGAAGGCCCCGAGCTCGAAGGAGCCGGACCAAATTTGCCGCTGGCGGCTGAAGCGCCCGCGCAGGGCCGCCGCCCGGCTGGGCTTTTGCGGCTGGCGGAAGAGCGCGGCCCCGGACCCGGCCACCTGGCGGCCGGGGACCGGGGCCCCGTCGTCCCCCAGCAGCGGCACCACCTGGGGGCCGACCTTCGGGGCGCCAGGGGCCCGGGCGCCCGGCGGCCCGGGCAGCCCGGACGCCCGGGTGTCCCGCCGGCGCCAGCTACTCAGCGGCCGGTCCTTGACCGTGATGATGATGTCCACCCGCACGGGGTTGGGATCCAGGTGGGTGCCGCCGGCGGCCAGGGTGGCCCGGCGGAGGACATCCAGCGGCAGGGGGATGGCCTCGGGCCAGGTGCCGATGCGCAGCGGCACGGCCGGCTCCTGCCCCTGCAGGCCCATGCTGATGGCCGCCACGCAGGCCGGCGAATTGAGCTCCAGCGTGCGGAGCTCCCCGGTCAGGCGGTCGACCACGGTCGTCTCGATGGCCGCCTGGAAGCCACTGCCGCCGGGGCCGATGAGCCCGGCATCCGGGCCGCCGCCCGGCTGGCCGGGCCCGGGCATGGCCCGGGAGAAGGGGTCCCCCGCGATCAGGCCCCGGGACATGGCACTCCCGGGCCCGGTGCCGGCGCGGGCGCTTTGGTAGATGTCGCGCGATGCGGCGAACACCATGCGGTCGCGGTTCGACGCGTCCAGCCGCACCGGCGCCAGCGGCGGGGCCATGACCGGCGCGCACCGGGCCACCGCGCCCTGGGCATCCTTGTCCATGTCGTATCGCCGTGGCACGTGCAGGTGCCAGGACCGCTTCAGGGACGACCGCGCATGGCGGAGCCGGGGCCCATTCAGGGCGGCCAGGGTGGTGGCCCCGCCCCCGGCGCCGGCCGGGACCGATGGCCCGGGCCCGGCCGCGGCCGACATGCCCGCCCCGGCGCCGGTGGGGCTGCCGGCCAGGGGACCGGCCGCCCCGGGCGTGGCAGACCGGGCCGACCGGGCCGACGCCCGGCCATGGGGCCCGGGCCCGCCGCTGGCCGGGCCCCGGAACAGCGGCGACAGGTCCTTCGGCGGCGGCGGCAGCTGGGCCCCCGGGCAATTCGAGTCGAAGACCGTCGTCGGGCAGGACCCCTCCTCGGCGCGGCCGCCGGTGCCCCCCTCCAGGGCGCTCAGCCGGATGCCGGTCGAGGTGTCGATCAGGGCCAGCCGCACGCGGGCCGTGCGGTGCACCAGCACCCCCCCGATGTAGAGCTCCATGCGCCCGGTGCGCACGAGCTTTGGCCGCCGCGCGACCAGGTGCCCGGCGTCCGTGCGCACGGTCTCGCGCTCCGGCAGCAGCAGCCACCCGCCGAGCATGTTCACCCCATCGGTGAGGACTACGCGGCCCGCCACCGTCCCGCGGCCCCGGCGACCGCCCGGATGCCAAGGTGTCGACCGCGAGCGATGCGAAAGCATGGGCGCAAGGCAAAGGTGTGAGCATGGGTCCCCTCTTGGGGAGAGATTGCGCCAGATGCCGCGCGGCGGGGCCTCCCGCGGCCCGCCCTCGCCCCCCGCCCCCCTCCTCCCGGGGTACCTCTGCCGGCCGGCCGGCCGGGCTCCTGCCTGGCCGGGTGCCAGGCGGCGCGGTGGCCAGGCGCCGGGCAGGGCGGCCGGCACGCACCCGAGCCCGGGCAAGCAGCAGCCCGACCGAGCAAGCAAGCAAGCAGGGGGGGGGGGGGGAGGGCCACGCCGGGCGGCAGACCGCCGCGCAGCCCCGCGCGGGGCCGAGGCGCAACTGGCCCCCCTCATCACCGGGCCTGGCCGGCGTCACCGGGGCCCCGGCCCAGCAGCGAGGAGGACGACAGCAGACCGGACCGCGAGGTCGAGGCCACCGAGGGGGCTCTCGAGGCCGAGGACCCGGCCGAGGACCCGGCCGAGGACGATGCCGACGAGGACGAGAGCCGGCGTCGGAAGCTGGCCGCCCAGCGCCGGGCTCGGCTGGCGGCCGGCCGGCCCCCGGCGACCACCTCCTCCTGCCACAGGGCGGCCGACAGGGCGGGCGGCGACCCTGGGCCGCGGCTGGGCGCCACCTCGGGCCGGGGCGGCTCGGGCGCCGGGTCCGCGGGCCGGCCGCCGGCCGCCTGGACCGGGGCCCCGGGTGCCGATGCCCGCGGCCGGGGGGACGCACCTTTCTCCGTGTACCCCGGGCGGGCAATCATGCAGGGCCCATCGGGCGGGATGTATACCGAGCGATTTTCGAAGATCCCCGCCGGGGAGATGGTCGTCGTGACGGCGGTCACGGCCTGGCCGTCCGGGCCGAAGATGGGCCGGCCGCCGGTGGGCCGGCAGCCCGGCGGCTGCATGGCGTCCGGCCCGGGCCCCGGGCCATCGACCGGGCCGGTCTCCGGCGCGGCGGCCCCCAGCTCCGGGTTCAGGGTGGAGATCTCGGCGAAGGCCGCCTCGTCGGTGGGGATGCGGACCTCGTGCCGGGCCGAGGCGGCTTGCCCGGTGGCCGACCCCGGCGGCCAGGCGGTGCTCTCCTCGCCGATGAAGTCGTTGACGTGGTTGAAGCGCCCGAGGGCGGTGCGTGTGCCGAGGGTGGTGGCCACCAGCACCGCGTCCGTGGCGATGTCCTCCGGCACGTGGCTCGGCGCCGCGGTCCAGGTATTCCCGTCCAGCTGGCCGGTGAGGAACACCGCCTCCGGGGGGGGCGTGCGCATGGGCGGGCGAATCGGCCGGATGGCCACATTCCGCCGCTCCCCCAGGGAGGGGCCCCCGCCGGGGGTCTGGCCGGCCGGCATCGGCCCGGGCCAGATGGCCCGCGCCTCGGGCATCAGCGTCGATTGGCCGGCCGCCACGGGCCGCCGGGGGACGCCCGGGCCCGGCATCAGTGCCACCGTGGGCGAAGGCGAGGCGGCCGAAGAGGAGGACCCCGAGGAGGCGGCGCCCGAGGAGGCGGCGGCCACCGGCAGCGGGGGCGAGCTTGCGGCGCTGCTCGGCACAGATGACACGATGGCCGGGTGGGCGACCGGCGCCGGGGCCGGGCCTCCGGCCGGTCGACCGATGGCGGCCGCCCCGGCCGGCGGGCTGGCCGGCGGGCTGGGCGAGGGGGTGGGCGGCAGGCCGGCGGTCTGCCTCCAGGGCGTGGGGCCGGCATCGGCCTTCCTGGCCGGGGCGTCGATGAAAATGACGTCGGCCGATTCGACGGCCGGCAGCGAGCCTGCCGCGGCCCCGGGCCGGCTCACGGCCACGGTCCACTCGCGGGCCGCACGCCGGCCCAGCAGCGGCGACAGCTCCGGCCCCGGCGCCGGGGCAAGATGTCGCATCGGCGAGTCTGCCTCGGCAGCGGCCCCCGGCGGCCCGCCGGCCCCGGCGCGAACGGTCCACACCTCCGTGCCGGCCGGCGACCCTGGCGGGGGGGATTCCCGGACCAGGTGGACGCTGGCGCTGCCGGCGGCCCAGTCGCCGGCAGGGGGCGGTGCGGCCGCGGCCCCGGGAAGCAGCGTCCCGCCTGGCGATGCGACGGACTGGCGCCACTCCTCGCGCAGCGGCGAGGGGCCCGGCCCGGGGCTCCTGCCGGGGGGCTCCGGCTCGAGCTCCGAATCCGAGGCATCCGTGATCACAACCACATCGGCGTGGGTGGTGGCGGCCACCGGCGGCGGCGACAGCTTGGCCACCAGGACCGGGCTGTCGGCCGGCTGGACCGTGGACTTGGTGACGGTCACCACCGGCACCGGGGCCGGGGCCGGGGCCGGGGCCGGGCTCGGGCCGGCGGCCGAGCTGTGCAGGTCCAGCTGGCTGAAGGAAGCGTCCGGCAGCAGGGTCCCGCCCGGGGTGACTGCCGGGGGGAACCGGTGGCGCAGGAGGGTCATCGGGCTGGGCTGTGCCGCCGCTGCCATGCTGGCGGTGGTGGTGGTGGCGGCCGTGGCCGTGGGCGCTGCCCCCGACGAGGCGGCCGACCTGTCGGCCACACCTCGGCCGGGCGGGGTCGGCGGGTCCACTTGGATGCGAACGCGCGGCACCGGCGAAGGGGCGGCTCCGGCCACCGGCGACCCGGCCGGGGTGCGCTTGACCACCGAAGCAGGGGCCTTGCCGGGGGAGGCGCGCACCCGTGGCGGTGGTGACGGCGCCGGCGATCCGACGGTCACCCCGTCGGCTTCGTCCCAGGTGCTCCCGACGATGCACTCCGGATGCAGGTCCTTGTCGCGCAGGGTCGAGGCCACCAGGTCATCGCAGGGGTGTCCCAGACGGCTGACCACCGTGGGCACAGCCACCGGCCCATCGGCGCCCCGGGCCCGGGCGATGTTCCGGTTCGATGTCACCGTCAGGCGGATCTCCCCGCGCGGGACGCCCTCCAGACGGAACCAGCAGTTGTAGATCGGATCGTACTATTGCCCCCGGGCATGGAAGAGTGGCGGCGGCGGCGGCGGCGGCGGCGGTCGGGCAGGATATGCCCAGGGAGGCGGTGGGTCAGCGGTCCGGAAAGGCCCGGGCGTCAGTGATCACGCAGGGGTGGCAGGGGGAATGGGGACTTGGCAGCGCGCGCAGGAGCGGCACATTGCGCAGGCAGGCAGGCAGGCAGGCAGGCAGGCAGGCAGACAGCGGACGGCGCAGGGCGAAGGGCGGGCGCACGATTCGCGACAAGTCCAAGCGCAGGACCCCGAGGCGATCACTTCGCCGGCGGCTGAGCCCCGCATGGCGCACGGTGATCTCGAGCGTGGCCTCCAGGCCGGCCATCATGTTATCGGTGTCGGCGCCACTTGACAGGTCGCCGGTGGCCGCGGCCAGGACGCCGGCCTGCTCCCGGGCCAGGCTGTCCAGGTAGCCGGCCTGCCGGCGGGTGATCGGGAAGTTGAAGGTCTGCTCCCAGACCGGATTGAGGGTTTTCTCGGCGACATTCGTCCGCCGGTCCACGTCGATGCGGGGCAGGCGCTTGCCCGCCTCGTCGACCGCCAGCCCGCCGGTGGTCAAGTGCAGATGGACATACGGATCGGCCAGGCCGGAGGAATCGGCCGCGGTCAAGTGCCGCGCCGAGTGCACCGTAACTTGGATGACATCGATGTCTGCAGGTCCGCCCGTGTGCGGCGGCCGGGGGCGCCGGTTCCATCGAGCGAGCGCCCACACGCACGCATACATACATGCAAGCAGCGTCAGTAAGGGGATGTCATGCTGCCCTGCCGATCCCACCTGCGGAGGGTCTCCATGTGGCGCGGGGGGGAGGGGCGAGGGGGGCAGACCGAGGCGGCCCCCAGCCTCATTGGGGCTTGGCGGCGAAAGGCTTGCCGCCACCACAACGGCTGCGGCAACCCCGACCAAGGGGGAGGGGGGGCGCTGTCGAAAAGGCGCACCGTTTGATGAAGCCTCCAGGACTTTGGAAATGTGCCGCCGCTGGCGACCGGCCGCCGGGAACCGGTCGCTGAGCCCGCGCCGGGGGGATCCCACGAAGTCCGTCACCTGCTGGTTGACCCTGCGCCCGGTGCTGCTCTGGGTCCGGCCGAGGGAGGCCGGCCGGACGGTGGCCATGGGGTCCACGCCGGGGCCCTGGACGGCGGAATAGCCGGCTGCCGTGCCACGTGCGGCCGCGGCCTCCGACCGCAAGACCGGCTTTTCCGCACCCACCCCATTGGATCCTGTGGCATGAGGGGGTGGGGGGGAGGGCGGGGGGGGGAAACAAATGTGCCGGTGGCGCATGAGATACCCAATGGCGGACACGTGCCCCGAGAGGGCGAGCGAGGCAGGGTGAGCAGAGAGGGGCAGCAAACAGAGAGGGGAGAAAGGGAGAAGGAACAGCGGCAGGGGAGAAAAGAAGAGAGAGTCGGAAGAGAACAGGACCAAAAGAAGGAAGGACCAGAGGGCGAAAAGGAAACAGGGCAAATGGAGGGAAGGGAGAAAGGAGACGGGCAGGGACGAAAGAGTGCGCCGGGCGACGCCACGAGGCCAATGCCAGGCGAGGGTAGGAGCACGGGCAGGATGCCAAGAGGGGGGATGGGGCGCCGAGCGAGGGAGCATGATCGACACCCGATGACGACGGCAGAGAGGGAGAGGGTGAGATTGAGCCTGCAAGTGGTGGGGGCGGCGCAGCCGGGCGCCGAATGGCAGAGCCATACCCACGCCCAGGCGCAGACCCCGAGAAGAAGGGGCAGGGGGCTTCTCGCATGTTGGCCAAAGGGCAAGGTCATGGTCATGGGGTGAGGGGGGGGGGGGGAAGAACCCGGCGTACCGGCAGCCCGGATCAAGGACATCATCCCCAGCGGCTGGAAGCGAAGAACCAACACCAGGCGCGGGATGACCGTGTTGGCCCCCTGGCGGCCCTCCATCCAGGCGCTGTTGACCAGGGCCGGCGCCAAGCGCAGGGGCCGGGTGGTGGACCCGAGAATGGACTGCCGCGCGGCCAGCGACCCGTCATCCGGGGGATGGCCATCGCGCACCACCGGCGCGGGCAGGCCGGCCGCCATGGGGTCACCTCCGCCGGGCCCGACGATGCCGGTGGCATTCTCGTTCATGGCCCGGAGGGTGGCACACC